TATTTTTTCCTGAGACAAGGTCTCACTCTGTCAGCCAGGCTGGTGTGTAATGTTAGGCTCTGTGGTTAGAATCCTAGAATTCAGAGGTAAACATCACTAGCTCCATCATTTGTAGGCTGTGTGGCCTTGGATAAGTCACCTAAAGTCTGTGTGCTTTGGATTCTTCATTTATAAATGGGGATAAGTACTTTCCTTATAGAATTGTTAGAAATTCAAAAAACTTCTTCAGCGTCTGACTTATAGTAGGTCCCCTACAAGCGTCGACTACTATTTCTGTTGTTGTCACCATCATGGGCACCATCCCTCTGCCCATGAGTAAGCACCAAATGAAAGTTTTTCTTTTTTTTTTAAGGGGGAGGGGGGCGGGGACAGAGTCTCTCTCTGTCACCCAGGCTTTAGTGCAGTGGCACGGTCTCAGCTTACTGCAGCCTCTGCCTCCTGGGTTCAGGTGATTCTCCTTTGTGACATCCACCCACAATCCGTCCACTGAATTGAGTCATTGTTGAATGTTAGGTCCCTAACGCAATGAATTAAACTTTCTACGCATGCGGTCATTTTATTTCCAAGGGGATCAAGCAGCCATTACATTATCCACCATAACAATATCATTCAGAAGAGTTTTACTGCCCTAAAAATCTCTGTGCTCTACCCATTCTTCCCTTTTCTTGCTAATTCCAGGAAGCCACTGATCTTTTTTTTTTTCCTTTGAGACAGGGTCTTGCTCTGTCGCCCAGGCTGGAATGCAGTGGTGTGATCATAGCTCGCTGTGGCCATGAACTCCTGGGTTCTAGCGATCCTCCAACCTCAGCCTCCTGAGTAGCTGGAACTACAAGCACACACCACCATACCCAGCTAATTTTTAAATTTTGTTTGTTTTTTTGAGACAGAGTCCCACTCTGTCACCCAGACTGGAGTTCAGAGGCACAGTCTCAGTTCACTGCAACCTCCACCTCCCAGGCTCAAATGATTCTCCTGCCTCAGCCTCCCAAGTAGCTGGGATTACAGGCCTGCCCCACCATGCTCAGCCAATTTTTGTATGTTTAGTAGAGACGGGGTTTTGTCATGGTGGCCAAGCTGGTCTTGAACTCCGGTCCTCAGGTGATTCACCTACTTTGACCTCCCAAAATGCTGGGATTACAGGTGTGAGCCATCATGCCCAGCTTAATTTTTAAATTTTTTTTATAGAGACAATGTTTTACCTTGTTTCCAAGGTCGGTCTTGAACTACAGGGCTAAAGCGATTCACCCATGATGGCCTCCTTGGCATGAGGCACTGCACCTGGCCTACCACTGATGTCTCTAAATAGTGTTGTTTTTTCTGGAATGTCATATACTTGGAATCCTGCAATGCGTAGTCTTTTCAGACTGGCTTAGCACCACATTTTATGGCTTCAGGCACTTTCTTGTCTTTCTTTACTTTGGCTCTGGAGTGCTGAGGTGCACCTACCAGCATTCTACCATGGACTCCGCCAAGGAACTGAGTTCCCTGAAGGGCACTTTGTCTCACCTGCGGGACTTGTATGGGAAAACCGTGAAGTGGGCCCCGCCTTGCTGAAGTTACCAGTAGTTGTCTGACCCCCTTGTGGAAATAGAAATACAACTGCATGCATAGATAAGTTTAAAAATTCATTGCATTTGGGACCTAGCATTCAACAATAACTCAATTCGGTGGATGGACGGTGGGTTAGATATTCCTGGTAGAGGTCAGTAGGCCACAGCCCCTGCTTCACAGTGTGGCGGAGGTGACAGGAAAGTCAATGCATAGTGACACAGAGACAGGTGGTGGCAAAAATAGAAGCACCTGTGGGATGGGTCAGGTTGTCAAGGCCAAGAGGCTGGGTTCAGTGTTGAGTGTGGATTGGCAGCCAGGCCTGTCAGGTGAGCAGCGCACCCCGGGGCAAGTTGCTGTCATTCTCAGGGCCTCAGTTCCTGCCCCTATAAGATGGCAGATGATGGCACCCCCCTCTCTAGAGGTACTGTGAGTAGGAAATGAATTTACATGTGTCATGACTTAGAGGACGTGGTCTACATGGGTGCACTTTGGGAATATGAGCTGGAATCGTCCTCCCCTTCACTAGAAGACAGAGGCAGCCACAGAGTGAGAGGGAAGACTGTGGTCAGTCTTTGAACTTACCTACTATTTTAAACTTATCCACGCATGCAGTTGTATTTCTTCTCCCTTCTTCAGGGAGGAGAAGAAGGAGCAGGGAGGCTTGGAAGAAGCTGGACTCTGACCTAGCATTATCTTTCTTCTTTGTATGTGATATTCTTAGATGATCATGCACGTTCCTTATAGGAACACTAGAATATACGGCTAAGCAGAAGGATGGCCATTAAAACTACCACAGGTATTGACTATTCACATTTAGATGATTTCTTTCTAGATTTTTCTTTCTTCCTCTGCTGAGATGGTTTGTTGTTGTTTTGTTTTGTTTTGAGATGGAGTCTCACGCTGGTGGTACGATCTCAGCTCACTGCAACCTCCACCTCCCAGGTTCAAGCAATTCTCGTGCCTCAGCCTCCTGAGTAGCTGGGATTACAGGTGTCTGTCAACATGCCTGGTTAATTTCTGTATTTTTAGTAGAGATGGGGTTTCACCATGTTGGCCAGGCTGATGTTGAACTCCTGACCTCAGGTGATCTGCCCGCCTTGGCCTCCTGAAGTGCTGGGATTATAGGCTTGAGCCACCACACCCAGCCCAGCTATCCTTTTTGCTCTGTCACCCAGGCTGGAGTGCAGCATCCTGATCTCGGCTCACTGCAACCTCTGCCTCCCAGGTTCAAGTGATTCCCCCTGCCTCAGCCCCCTGAGTAGCTGAGACTACAGGCGTGTGCCAACACACCTGCCTAATTTTTGTATTTTTAGTAGAGATGGGGTTTCATCATGTTGGCCAGGTTGGTCTTGCTCTTGACCTTGTGATCTACCCACGTCAGCCTCCCAAAGTGCTGGGATTCTAGGCGTGAGCCACTGCGCCCGGCAGCTTTCCTTTTTTTTCAATTTCACATCTAATGAGGCTCTGAGAGGTAGAGGGAGTCACTTACCATCGCTCACTGGTCAGTGTGCAGCTGGGGTTGCCCCAAGCTTCTGATACCACATACCCTGAATGCCATTTTCTGGCTCATTCCTGCCTTGGAGACCCCAGACTCAATCATCATTGACTGAAGCCATTCTTTTTTTAAAATGTTGTGGATTTTTTTTTTTTTGACTAATTATATTTAGAAGTACAAAGTGACTTTTTTGCATTTGATAAAATATCTGTAATATAAAATTTACCGCTCTAGCCATTTTAAGTGAACAGTTGTGCAACCATTACCACGATCTATTTCCAGAACGTTTTCATCATCTCAAACAGAAAATGCACCCAGCCAGCAATAGCTCCCATTTCTCATCCGCCACCTCCCTGTCCCTGGTAACCTCCATTCTACTGTCTGTGTATAAACTTGCCTATTCCAGATACCTCGTATAAGTGGAATCATACATCATATTTAGAATAATGTTTTCAAGGTTCGTTCATGTTGTAGCACATGTCAGAATTTTCTTCCTTTTTGGGGTTGATATTATATATATGCATCTTTTATATACATGTAAATGTAGGTTTATATATACATATGTTTTGTTTATCCATTCATCTGTAAATGAGCATTTGGATTGTTTCTGCTTTTCGTCAATTGTGTGAATAATGTTGCGATAAGCAGTGGTGAAACAACTCAGCGACAACGAAAAACCATGCAATTTAAAAAATAAGCATAGGACTTGGATAGACACTTCTCCAAAGATAATAACAGGGGCGGGTGGATCACGAGGTCAAGAGATCGAGACCATCCTGGTCAACATGGTGAAACCCCGTCTCTACTAAAAATACAAAAATTAGCTGGGCATGGTGGCGCGTGCCTGTAATCCCAGCTACTCGGGAGGCTGAGGCAGGAGAATTGCCTGAACCCAGGAGGTGGAGGTTGCGGTGAGCCGAGATCGTGCCATTGCACTCCAGCCTGGGTAACAAGAGCGAAACTCCGTTTCAAAAAAAAAAAAAAAAAAAAAAAAAAATACAAGAATTAGCTGGGCATGGAGGCATGCGCCTATAGTCCCAGCCACTCCAAAGGCTGCCGCAAAAGAATTGCTTGAACCCAGGAGGCGGAGGTTGCAGTGAGCTGAGATCGCGCCATTGCACTAAAGCCTGGGTATCAAAAGCGAAACTCCGTCTCACAAAAACAACAACAACAACAACAACAACAAAATAGCTGGGCATGGTGGCGCGCACCTGTAGTCCCAGCTGCTCCGGAGGCTGAGGCAAGAGAATTGCTTGATCCCAGGAGGCGGAAATTGCGGTGAGCTGAGATCGCGCCATTGCACTCCAGTCTGGGTAACAAGGGCGAACCTGCGTCTCAAGAAAAAAAAAAGAAAAACAACAATTAGCTGGGCATGGTGTCGGGCGCCTGTAGTCCCAGCTACTCGGCAGGCTGAGGCAAGAGAATTGCTCAAACCCAGGAAGCAGGGAGTACCTGCATTATAAAGGTACTTTATAAAGTACCTTATGCACATAGAATTCTTCCTCTTGTCTTTCTCCACTTTACCTTCTCCCAATATTAAGCTCTTATAAAATGGATCTAATAATAGGTCAGACTCTTATAAAATGGGTCTAATAATAGGTCAGACTTGCTGTTAAGTTTAATGAGGAGATATTTTCTTTTTGAAACCTACAGAATATGGATGTTGGATAGTAGCGGTATAGATCATAATAATATTATTAGGAAAGGAGAGCTTTGATGAAAGATGTAATTGTCTAGCTCTGGAGGTCTGCCTGATATTATGGCAAAATGGGATTCATGACACTGCCCGAAGAAATAAATGTCAGTTATGCAACTTGTAACATGTGCCACATATATACCTGCATGATTTTATAGATTCACTTGATGTTTTCATGATAGAGTGTACTTTAATTTAAATATTCAGTTTCATGAAATACAGAAAGTATAACACTAGTTTCATTTTTGTCCTTTTAAGTTACGTAGAAACCCCAGCTCATTTCTCTTGGAAAGAAAGTTACGACCGATCCACCATGTCCGGGAGCACGTAGACAAATGAATTCCTCAGTCCCGAGTTTTCCAGCATATCTGGGAGTTTCTGGAACAGTAAGTATAAAACCAGCAAAAAATGTTGTGCTTGAGCTAAATAAGTAAATACGTAAATGTAGATGGTCAAAATACTGCTTACTAGGGCATGTTTTTTTCTAGAACCAATAGAAGTTATTTAGGAAAAGTTAATGACTCCAATGCCATCTCTTTGTTAAATTCAGTGGTGACTGTTTTCAGTTTCTAACACCAAAAGATCCTTACTAATCCAAAGTGATGTAATTTTGGAGGGCCTCAAGCCTCCTGCACCAAAATCACTTCCCCAGTGTTGCTTTGCTACTCCGAATCCGTTCGGTTGAAGACTCACCTACTTTATAATGCAGGTACTTCCTGAGAAGATAAAACACTAAATTTTGTTGTTCATTTATACCTTGCTGTATAAAGTATTATTATTTCTTTATTACAAGCAGGTTTGGGTAAGTGAATAAGTTAAGAAGGTGAAGAAAGTATATCAGTACACTGGAGACTCTTAAGAATAGAGTATAAAATACTCTATCTCAGATACGTCTATTATGTCCTGCAGTCTACCCAGTAATTATCTAAGGAGGGCAGAGGTCACGATCCCATTTAACTAATGCAGATTGAATTTGAACTGCTTGAAATTACACATTGGATAAATGGTTGAGCCAGGACTCAAACCTAGGGTTTCTAACTCCAAGCAAGTGAAGAGCCTTGAGCCTTGCTGACTTTAAGCAGAAAGTGCTTGTTGTTAACCACAGCATGAGTATGTTTTAGTCCCTTTTCATGCCTAACACACTTTTTTCTTTCCTATGTGTTAGGCCTATATGTTCAGTTCAGCCCATTGACTTGAACTTTGTGGATGAACCATCAGAGGATGGTGCAACAAACAAGATTGAGATTAGCATGGACTGTATCCGCATGCAGGACTCCGACCTGAGTGACCATGTGGGTGAGTGGCATGGGCTTTCTCCTTAGTCTTTGGGCTGTGCTATCTGTAGCTCTGCGAAATCTGACTTTTCAATAGCGTGTAAAAAGGCAGGTGGCTTTGAATGGGCAAGGCCTTTGAGAAGAGAGTCAACATGGGTAGCTGAGAGGAGATTAGGAGTGGTTTATGGATTTTGGTTCTGCCTCAAATGTCGATAGTATATATATGTATATATGTTTCCATTGGTGTGGGAGGGAGATTCTTTACATCTTTTATCTTCGTTATTCCTCATGTCAACCCCAATTTAGAACAGATAGTACCAGCCCAAGGTTTTCTAGCCAGTAGGGACAGAGAAAGAATCAGAAATTTATGTTATTTGTATATATATATTTATTTACTTGACAGTGTCTCACTCTGTCACCCAGGCTGGAATGCAGTGGCATGATCTTGGCTCATTGCAACCACTGGTTCCCTGATTCAAGAGATTTTCCTGCCTCAGTCTCCCAAGTAGCTTCGATTACAGACATGCACCACCACACCTGGCTAATTTTTATATTTTTAGTAGAGACAGGGTTTTGCCATATTGGCCAAGCTGGTCTCAAACTCCTCCTGGTGTCATGTGATCTGCCCATCTCAGCCTCCCAAAGTGCTGGGATTATAGGCGTGAGTGAGCCACTGTGCCCAGCCAAGAATCAGATTTCAGATCTGAGTCCTGTCCAGAGCACTTCCTTCTATGACAAAGCACTTCTCTGTTCTTCTAATTCAGGAGGAAGAGATAAATTCTATGTGCATATGCAGGTTTAAATAGCTGGTAATAGATTAAGAGGAAAGAAAAAAAAGCTAATACACAACACAGGCTTTTCTTGGCTGTACCACTGAGTCACTCATAATTTTAGGCCCCAGTTTCTTATTTATAAAGTGGTAAGATCATCGGTGCTACATACTTCCAGGTAAACTAAGGAGTTTAATGGGTTAATGATATTAAAACGCCTGAGATGTTTAGATGAGATTTCCTGTGTTTGTGGACTTTCATAATTCTGGTGGATTTTCTTTTATTATCATTTATTTACCATACAAGTCCTGTTGTCTTTTCTATCAAGGATTTCTGGAAAAAGAATGAGGGGAAGGTAGAGAGTCGGGTATCATAGCGCATCTGTTGACAAGATTAGGGGAATTATTTTAAAATGCCTTGTCTTGTTTGAGACGTTTCATTGGAAATTTTGCTACGTCTTTTTTTGATATGGAATGTACTGCTTAATATTGGGAGAAGGTAAAGTGGAGAAAGACAAGAGGAAAGAAAAACAAAGTTATAACTCTGCAAATACGTGGATGCTTTAGCACTAATTTGATAAGGGAAAAATAAATTTTTTCATTGGCCCTTTTCATTCCAATAAAGATATAGTTCTCAATCCTTGAGCTAGTGAAATTTAACTATCAACTAATTTCAAGGGGCTGGTCATTCAAGGCCTTGGAATATATCGTAATTCAACATAAATATCTGTAAATTCTAATTTACATAACTCAGCTTCATAACTCAATTTGTTTTCCTTCCCCCTAGTCCTCTTCATCGTCCTTCTATATTTTAAGTTTTAAATCTAAGCAAGAGTAGATAATATTCTTTGTATTTAAAGAACTCGTCAATATGCTTCTGTGAGAACATATTATTTTGGTGGTGAATTTTGTGTTTTGTTTCTGGAGCTATGTTCTTATTGTGAGTGAGAGGGCTAATGCACTTATAATTGCATCACTGCACAGGCTAACGAAGTCCTATTGTTGCTTACAAAGTTGGTATGAAATGAAGGAAAAAATACATTAAGCACAACAAACCAGCAGCAGCCTTGGAAATGCCAGAGAGTCAGAGGAAGTTTCAACATGTCATTTGCTTTTTTGTTTTTTTCTTTGAGGTCTGAAAAAAGTGTAAAATATCGAACTGCATTACAAAAGAAGCTTTCAGTCTTGGGAGAAAACCATTTTAGCTTGCCTTATGATTGATTTTTCTATTCCAGCAAAATAAAATTAAATTATTTTAGATAAAAATTTCCTACTTTCCTGTCACCTTCCACTGGCTTTATTTCAATTGACATTACCTGTAATACTAACAGTCTTGAGACACACACTTACCTAGTATATCCTCCATGCCAGATACTATATTTCCTTATTTTAAAGCTAGATAGGAATTACTTTCCACAGAAGAGAGTGGAAGTTTTATTACCAAAGCACTAGAGGCTTAGCAATTCTAACCCTTTTCAGAAATCATAGAAGTAGAAGGGCAGTGTTAAAGCAATGCTCATCGAACTCTAAGGTGTGCACAAATCACCTGGGTATCTTCTTAAAATGCAGCTTCTCAGGCAGCAGGTCTGGGAGCCTGAGACTCTGCATTTATGACAAGCTTCTAGGGAAAGCCATTGCTTTTGGTTCAGGGAACACACCTCATGTAGCAGGTGTGAGGTCCTTCACACAGCTCCTCCTGAAAGCCACTTCTGTGATAAAATTATGATTTAAACTTTCTTCTTTTTATGTATCTTCTAAGTTTTCATCAGTGATCATATATTAGTCTTATAATCAGAAAAAAAAGTGAATAAATATATTTTTAAAGTAGAGTAGTCCCTTCCTCAGATTTCTACTGATGGTTTACCTTGGGCCTGTCTTTGATGATCTTTGAGGTAGGTCTCTGAGTGGGTTGTTAGACACTTCAGGTGCCCTGCCCATATTACTCAACATTTACCCTTTTAAAAAATTTTGCTAAAATAAACATCATAATATATGTTATTGAGATGGAGTCTTGCTCTGTCACCCAGGCTGGAGTGCAGTGGCACAATCTTGGCTCACTGCAACTGCCACTTCCTGGGTTCAAGTGATTCTCTTGCCTCAGCCTCCTGAGTAGCTGGGATTACAGATGCTTGCCACCACGCCTGGCTAATTTTGGTATTTTTTTTAGTAGAGACAGGGTTTCACCACGTTAGCCAGGCTGGTCTCAAACTCCTGACCTCAAGTGATCTGCCCACCTTGGCCTCCCAAAGTGCTTGGATTACAGGCCCACCATGCCCAGCTCATATTTTTGATATGATATGGTTTGGATGTTTGTCCCCTCCAAATCTTGTGTTGAAATGTAATGTCTTATGTTGGAGGTGGGGCCTGGTGGGAGGTTTTTGGATCATGGGGGCAGATCTTTTATGAATGACTTAGCGCTGTCCCCTTGGATGAGGGTTACTTTTTTCTAGCAGTTAACATGAGATTGAGTTGTTTAACAGAGTGTGTCCCCTCTTCTCTCTCTCACTCCCACTCTTGTCATGTGAAACCACCTGCTCCCCCTTGCCTTATGCCATGATTGTAAACTTCCTGAGGCACATGCTGGAGCCATGCTTGTACAACCTGCAGAACTGTAAGACAATTAAACCTTTCTTCATAAATGACTCCACCCCAGGTATTTCTTTATAGCAATATAAAAATGGAGTAGCATGCCATCTTAACCACTTTTTTTTGAGACAGAATCTTACTCCATCACCCAGGCTAAAGTGCAGTGGGCGATCTCAGCTCACTGCAACCTCTGCCTCCCGAGTTGCTGGAATTACAGGATTGTGCCTCTATGCCCAGCTAATTTTTATATTTTTAGTAGAGACAGGATTTCACCATGTTGACCAGGCTGGTCTCCAACTCTTGACCTCAAGTGATCCACCCGCGGCCTTGGCCTCCCAAAGTCCTGGGATTATAGACATGAGCCACTGCTCCCAACCAATCTTAACCATTTTTAAGTGAACGGTTAAGTGACATTAAGGACGTTCACAGAATTGTGCAACCATCATTACTATTCATCTCCAGAACTTTTTCATTTGCAAAACTGAAATTCTATATCTATGGAACAAAACTCCCCATTTCTCCCTCCCCCAGCTCCTGGCAACCACCATTCTATTTTCTGCCTCTGCAAAATTGACTACTCTAGGTTCCCCTATAAGTGGAGTCATACGGTATTTATCCTTTTGTGTCTGGCTTATTTCACTTAGCATGGTGTCCTCAAGGTTCATCCATATGGTAGTATGTGTTAGAATTTCCTTGCATTTTTAAGGTTGAATACTGTTCCAATATACGTGTATGCCACATTTTGTTTATCCTGCATCCGTCAATGGACACGTGGGTTGCTTCCACCTTTTGGCTGTTGTGAATAATGTATAAACATGGATGTGCAAATCTCTCTTCACATCCCTGCTTTTCTACTTAGCATTTCTATGCTGGATTTTCAACTGCCTGCATCTGTGTCTCCTTACCTGAGAGTGTCCTCTGACTACCTGCTCTAATCACATAAGGGCTGAAAAGTCAGTGCCCCTCCCACCAATTAGGATAGAAATTGGTGTATGACTCCACATTTTCCTGAGTTCCCCGATGAAATCAGCCCCCAGCTACCTTTGGTGGTAATCTACTTGATACCACATTCTATAATGGCTTCCTTCTCTGGTTCATTTTTCCTCAATCACCTTGTTTTCCTGGAATCACCTCCCAAATAAACTTCTTGTTCTCAAATACTGACTTGAGGTGTGCCTAAAGGAGAACACATCTAAGAGAGTTTAAAAGGCACACTGTGAATATGTATGTATACCCATAGATAGGATCTTTTTGGAGAGCAGCAGTGAGATTTGGATATCCGTGGTGGATTCTTAGTTAGGTGTACAACTGCCTTCCCACCCCATTCAGCTGATGTTCTGACTAAAATTAAATCTGTTCATATGAACATTTAAATCTTATTGTAACAGTTTATACATAAGTTTTAAAAACTCTGTTTTTGCTTCCTTTCTAACTCGACAACTTATTCTCCCAAATTAATTACCATACATGGAGCTAGATCCCAAAGAAAGAAGAAAAACAGTTCTACAAACAAATAGGTCTTTTGTTGATAGGATAGTTGTTTTCTATAAATAGATTCTTGTTTCTTCCTTTTGCTACCATGTTTAGCCTCTGGGCTTCTCTTGGTTGTATCTAGTTTGTTGTTCTTGGCTCATTTTGACATTCTCTGCGTATTGTATTTTTAATAT